CAAATCATGAAATTCATTTTAACCAACTTCCCGATGAGGTATAGACTTGAAACTACAAACTTCGCTCAGAACCCGATGACAATGCGATATGAAAGATGAATCCGCCAGGTGGCGCGGGTGTCGAGATATTTGAAAACCCGTATTTATGGTCCGATTTGGTTTATATTGATAACGTGTATTACTTAGATGAAAAGAAAAAACTACACAAGAAATTTCGCAGTATATTTAACTATTTATTTTTTTTAACAAATAATAAAAGTGATTAATTTTGGAACGAATTTCCGTCATCCCTTGTCAAGTTTGGTTTGCAGACAAACTTTCCGTTCTCCGAGAACGAAAAATGACACTGAAGATGGCACAATGCCGATACCGTTTTGTCTGCAAACCAAACTTGACAAGGGATGACGGAAATTCGTTCCAAAATAAATCATCTTACCACCCTGTCGGAAAAATCAACCAACACCAACACACAAATAATAAAAGCTTGTTAAAAAAAATTAATTAGTTTTTTTATTAACTAACATGTAATTCATACATCTGTTCTTTTTCAAGGAATGAAGTGTTTGAGTTGTGATACCTTCTGATTGAGACAGAAGTGGAAAAAATTAGAAAGTTTTGGGACATCTATTAGAGGCATTGCCAGATTTAGAAAATGTGAAAACTCGTGATATTGATTTGCTCATGGGATAAAAGAAACGTGAAAAGCAAGCATTCGAACTGGTTGGATGTGACAGAAGTTGTATTGTTACTAAAACATGCTACCAAATTTCAGTCTGCATCACTAAAGCCATATAAATTAAAGTTTCAAACTTCTTACAAAATTTAGGAAAATTCAACAAATTTTCATCAAAATTTTTTACTTCTGAATCTGATAGAATATAATATTAGCAGTTTTATATGAATATGATATGAAATTTTAGTATGATAGTTGATTTTTTTAATTTTATATCTGAACGATCTTTCGCATTTTCTTCCATAAGGACATGAATTTATTAAAAAGTAAGAAATTTTGTTAAGTCTTTCTACATTTTTTATAAAGTTTGACATTTTAATTTGTGTGGTTTTAGTGATAGCATGAACAATACTTTTATGGAAAATTAGCATAAAGATTTTAACTTCAAAAACATTTTGATAATTTAAAGAAAATCAACATGTGAACGCTTATTGCAGTTAGTGTGTAAGTTATTGTGCTACGTATATTAATTTTGCTTAAACACCCCATGAATTCAATGCAAATACAGTTATTATCACGTTTATATCGACTCATTTTCTTGTTTTTATTTAAAATATAGCTTAAATTCAAGCCATACCATTCGAAAATACCAATATTTATTTTCCAATGTCAAAAAGTTGCAAAGAATCTTTGAATGGGGCTAACAGTAATAAGTTGGGCTTGACCACGCCCATTTAAAAAAATTTATTAAGTACTAAATTTTTTGCTTAAAGTTCACTCTATATATCCGATTTTAGTAATTTGGCTGCAGTAGTTACTTAAATATCGTAGTTTTCGTTTTTTCCAAAAATACCGTTATATGGAAGGCAAGCGTAGTTTTGATCCGATTTCACCCATTTTCATTACCAACCTAGCTTGCCACAGCGATAATTCGATAATCGGTAAGCCGATAATAAAATAAATTTACACAAACAAAATAAATGGAGAAATATTTTCGAACACCGAGTCACCGAGTACCAAGCTCGGTGTGAAGACCCCAATTATATATATGTATGTTAAATATGTGTGTGCTACCTGTTAATATAAAAACGAATGTCCCATGAACAATTCAATTTTCCCGTTAGTTTATTTATGCACAAAGTACCCAATTAGTATTGAGGCTACAGGCTGTAAATTATTTCGAAAAAATATAGCATCGTCGATGAGGATTCGATATCGTCAGATCGAATGTTTCTCGAGAATTATGAAGCAACATTGATCTTTCCCGTGCGAAAAGTACCGATGGCTGGTAAACCGGATTTTTACAATCGAATAAACCGTGTTTTATATATGTATTAGAATCTAAGCATTCTAAATAAGTATATACTTATTTTATTGAGAATCGAACTGCAACGTTAATAATTTTATATCTCAATATGTATTGGAAAATTTTCCACTGCAGGAAATGACATAAAAATTAAAGGAAAACCGCATGGTGGAATAATAACAAGGTGTTGTCAGTAGCGACGTGTTTGTTGTGATTTTGACAAGATCGGCATGCTTATTTTCAGTGCTGCCGGTCTCAATTTTTATACTACTATTCGTTGGGAAATAGTATCTAAAATACTCCATTTTAGTTATTCGTTTTATCGCGATTTTTAAAGAGCTTGGTGTTTTCAGAACAATACTAATATTTAAAATTGCTGGATTTGTATAATTTTTGTCCTCAAAAAGTAGAAAAATAAAAGATATCGTGGTTATCAATGGAAAAAAACGTACAAAAAAATCGTATGGAAAGGCGCTTTTTTATATTAAATAACTTTTGCTGCATTGTCATAATATTGAGCCAAATGAACTACTGATACACTAGAACAGAGTGGCTGCATGGTTAAATTAGGAATTCGCTTATATTATCGATATTTGTGTGTTTTAATCTATTTAGAAAATCATTTAAAGTCTTATAGGAAATTGCCTTATTTTACGACTTTTACTTTTTTAAAGTTACAATATATGTCCAAGCTGTGTGGAGCTGCCGATACAAACATATATTCATTTTTCTAGATTTAATTTGAAATAGTATGCACCAACGGATTAAAGGTAGTAAATAATTAGTACTTTTTCTAGTACTTTAAAATGCGTGACCGGAATAGACCTGCCGAAAAAGTGAGGTTAAGTCACCTTGTTATTATTACACCATGGGAAAACCGTATGAAAATCTTTTTCTTTTATTGTCACAGCTTACTAAACTCAGCCTAAATCACTGAATCGGACTATGTTGCCGTCATTCTCATCTAATGACAGGCTCAGGAAAAGGGTTGATCCGATGGGTTTGAGCTGTAGGGAGAGGGCAAATGAAGAGGTAGTTAGTATCGTAGTGGCATCTTACACAAATTTTACTGAACGGTTTAACCTGCTATAATAAGCTATTCGTCTGCGATAGGTGTCGTTGGTATCCGATGGTGGAATTCAAGGGGTGAGAGTGACCGAAGGTTTTGTTTGATTCTCGATGAATAGCCTGTCTATAATAGACCATAGTTGTATAGTCTGTCTGTTTTAGCGGATGGTGTATTCACATTCACAAGATAGTTGGTTTTACATGATCGAGTTTTTCCCCACAGAGACCTGTTGTTTTAACGATATAATGTTGATAGGCTCGATGAACCTCATTTAATGCGGATTTTATATCTACTAATTTTTTCCTGTTGTAATTTTGCTCATGATCACTGACAGTAAATGTTACTGCAGATAACATCGGTTAATCGATTCATCCAATTTTTTCTTAATTTGAAAATGAGGAACCTGTATTTTCAAATGGCCATTTTCCGAAATTGGCATCTATCAGCAAACAAGTGCTCTTCCAGATACCCACAGTGCTATTGACGTTCATCGCTTTGAGGTATGTATTTAGTACTTAACTTTGTCTACTTGGGAACCAGAATTAACAGCAAATTAATTTCTTCTTGTTTGGCGCTGTAACCACCCAAGTGCCAACTGACGCCAAATGGATAATAATTAAGTCTGCCTTGAAATAAACTTTATTTTTAAGTTAAACTTTAATAAACTTTAGTTTTTAAATCACAGGACGAACACCTTTGTTTGATAAATAACGTGAAAACGTGAAAACGTAAGATCCCATGCAATATAATCAATTTTAAATTACATTAAAAGAATTTGCTGAACATTTATTGTAAAATACTTAATAAACATTTTCGAACCCACTCGGAGTCTACTACATTTTGAATTTAACGATATTTTACAATAATTTAAGTTGGACAAACAACATAAATTTAAATTTAAATAAACCATTAAGCAAATAAATCACAATACGGAAGTTGACAACGGCTAATCAAATTGTCGTTTACTTTTTCATAGTATTCGAATATGTAAATATTTAAAGTATCTTAATAAGTATAATTACAGTTAAATAAATAAGTAGTATGTAATAGGTGGACATAACATCGTAGCTAATTGATTGTTTCGTTCTTAACTTCAAATTACCTAAACAGAGCTTCAAACTAAATTTTATTTACTATATTCATAATTATATATGGTGCTTTTAAACAAATAGTGCAGAAACCCAAACTCAAGCAAAACATACAGAAAAGTTCGTTAAAACCCACATAAATTTGCCTACAAACAAATGAGATAAGATCACTCGTAGTTTTTACTCTTTTTTTTGCTTCTAATGTTATATATGTTGGGCGCGTAGACTGTTCTCACTCTGCAAGTAAGAAAGAAAATAAACATGGAATACAAAAATTAATATGTTAAATTAAAAACGTAAGTGCGCTTGCGGGAGAAGTGATTTGTTAAAAAAGCTAGGGCTATTAAAAATACAGGTTAGTAGCTGAGAAGAGATTAAAAAGAGGGATTATGTAAAAATTTGCAAAGACAGAGATTGGTTAAATAAAGATTAAATGTATGAATACAAAATTGATTAACTTAATAAAAGAAAAAAATACAAGGCTGCCGGAATAGGGTTCCCAAAATAAGGGAGAGTTTACAAAGTCAGCTTATTGGCATTCCTAGCTTTGCTTTATTTATGAAGAAAAAAGTTGTGTTTTGATCTCATATTACTAGTGAACCCGCATGGCGTTAAAACGCCAAAATTGGATTTAAAATTTTCAACAGGTGGCAACCCTCTTCAAAAACTTAAAGAATATTTGAAATGTTAGTCGCAGTTATAAGCCAATCGTGTGCCAAATTTCATCTAAATCCGTTCAGCCGTTTCTGGGTGGAGAGAAAGCTCGCATGGATCGGTTGCTCTGATTTTAAATCACCCTTTTTTAATTTGACATCTCGTTTTTGAAATCCGAAAGAACCGTGCAGATCTGATGACCTTCAAAAAAATGTCTTCTCATATTATATTTATACACATGTATGTACACAGCTGGCAATCCTAATAAAATGTATTCTCAAATTAAAGCTTTCATACAACTCATTCGTTTGACACTCTTATTTAAGTATATCATATATGTATGTATATTTTGTATACAAGTTAAGTAAATTCGACGTTTCGAACAGGTGGCAACCCTTCTCAAGAGTGTTTTCAAACTAAAATCTTCTTAAATCTCTTTCGTTTGACATTGGCATAAACATTTCAACTAACTGATGAATTAAGTTGAACTTGATTTTTCAAATAAGTGGTAACCCTTGTAAATGAAGTTTCGAATAAACCCGTTTCGGTTGGTAAACACCTTTTAATGATCGTCGAAATTATTAAACAATTTGAAATCAACTTTTTAAACAGGTGGGAACCCTCTTCAAACACCACATAAATATTCTAAATATTTAAAGTAAAGATTTCTAAACACTCGAATACTGCATTACCGTGCAAGTTAAGCTGTTAGCTATGCCCCATACCATGTCGGCGCCCATACGCTGCAGCGTACGGAGATTTGGCCAACAGTTTTATTAACTAGAGTTTTAGGACCAGTTCGAGAGGCCCACATTCTCCGTTCAATGTAGTGAATAGAATGATCATGGATTTGACAACTATTTATCTTCCCGAGATATATGTATATACATATATATGTATGTAACTATTCACAAGAACTTGCTTATTGTTCGCCAAAATCGTTCCCTGGTAGCATTACACAGAAACCATCAGCAAATGAGACGATTGAGAACCTAATCGAATACAGATGAAATACGCTTTTGACAGGTTCAGAGCAACTCGAATGTGGTGGGCGCAGCACTGCTTTTGATTGGGATCTTCAGTGGATTGTTGGCCAGACTAGGTCACCAATGTTTTCAATCCTTCAATGGGCATTATCCCTAATTTATTTTGTAAATTCTGTGGTCGTAAGCAATAACTGCTTAAGTCGACTTAAGAAAGATATGAGTATTCTGCAACTACTATTCCATGTGTATGTGAAATCCCCATCTCGCCAGCTAGGCTATTTAAAAAGCTATAGACGAAACGAACAAATTTGGTTTCACCATAAGGATAGCATTACAATCCAAATGTTTAAAACGTTTTTTCTCGAATTCAGTGTTTTCGACTTAGGCGATTATTGCTTATGACCACCGAATTATTGCCACGAGACTTCTGGGCACGTCGGTAGGTACTCCAAAAATATAGAGGGTGAAACTCGCATTACTGTTACATAACAACATACGTTCTTGATACTTGTTGGCTTCCCGCATCCATATACTGCATGGAGGCACACTTTTGTAGGTCTAAGGGGATCGTTTAATTGGCTTAATGTTGCTTCCGACAGTTTACCTAAGTATAGAGCCACTGAAGTTTGTCGAATGAAGCTATGTAGTTTGCATATTTTCGTCGAGTAGTTCAGGTCTGCCAGACGTTGAAAAAGTACTAATGGAGATATCTCAACCCATGTCTAGCCAGACCCGAAAAGTAGCAAAGCAAGTGTATATCGATTTCTTCATCGTCACGGCAGTTGCGACAGTAGTCATATGCCAGAAAGTCCATTCCGCTGCCGTACATTCCGGAAGTCAGTGGCCCGCATTGATTCCTATTCCCAGTTGAAGTACATACATAAGACTGGAACATCTTACAAAGTTTATCAGGCGTTCAGTGATTTTCAGGCTTCAGCACTCTATTAAGCTCGTAAGCTGTATATTTATTACGGTCTGAGAGCCAAAAGTCGCAACGCTATAAAAGCTTGATGTGGAGGAGCTCTAACTTAAGCCAAAGCTTGCCCGATGCCTGCAATATATGCGCCTCGTGAGTGTTTACGGTCGATAAGCATGTACTTGACTATGGAAGTTCATCCGCTTCGCAGAATCCAAACTATTTTTATATCCTGGTGCCCACATTACCTTCGTTTTGTATTTATTTTCCCGTTAGTTTAGAGTTTTCCTACACTCTATTGTGGGTTCTGACGACTTTTCATACTTTTATAAACAGCTGATAGCCCTCCTCCAGAAAAAAAGGCGTACCATACTTTAAGATCCGACTATAAATGCCGAAGTTATGACGAAAAAATGTAAAATATTCGAAATTGTCTTCGAATCGAAGATCACTTCGTAACTAATTTCAACTAAGCTAAATGATCTCGAACTGATCGCTGAAGTGGTTCTAAAAAAGTTGTTACCTTGTTCCGATATGATCTCGAACAAGTCACGAAACGTCCTGAAATGGTTCCTTACCAGTGGCACAATGATCGCGAACCAGCCCCAGAATGGTCCAGAAATAGTCATGAACTATCCCGAAATAGTTCTGAACCAGTCCAAAAATCGTCTGAACTACTACCGAAATGATCCTGAAAGAGTTCTCCACCAGTTCCGGAATGGTCCTAAACTACCCCCGCAAATAACGCGAACTAAAATAGCCCACAACTAGTCCCAGAATGATCCCGCACTAGTCAAATAGTCCGAAAATGGTCCTGAACAGGTAGCTAAACGATCCCGAAAAGCTCCTAAACAGATCACGGAAAGATGCCGAACTAGTTCCGAAACGATCCTAACCAAGTCCTGAAGTGGTCCTGAAATAATATTTTCTGCTGGGTTACACAAAATACAGTTACAAAATTTCGAAGGTGTACGACGAATATTTTTTTTTTCTAGTACGGTGTAATGTACACTCTAGAATAACGACTGTTAGACAAATATGCCACCGGGGCCACAGCGACTGAAAGCGAAGCTGTGATATTGTACCGGATACTATTTTTAAGTTCTACCTTCTATCGGGGAAATGCTTTAGCTTTTATATGAAACTGTGGAGAAATCTAAATAAATACAATGCACGAGTGATCTTGGGTGTGATACTTATGTAAGTGCGAGGGGGTTTGAATGCGTATACATATGTGTGTATGTTCGTGTGTTGTATGTACCATGGTCCATAGTGTACGTGAATTTGAATACAAGTACAAGAAATATTTTACAATTAAGCAATTGTTTAACCTATAAGACTTTTTTTTTATTTTACATAAAATTATTAGTAACTAAACTAAGATCTGTTATCAATTGGTTAGCTTCATTTAAAAAATTCGCTTGCTATGAGCGTAGATTCGAAGTAAGTTTTGGTTTTTGGTTTAGTGTTTTTGGTTATTACAAGTTGTAAATATGTTTTTTGTTTCATATAAATAATATTTAATTGAATAAATCATAGAAGTATAATAAATACGTAAAACATATTCGCATTTTAGTATTGTTAAGTTCAAATTTTAACAACAAAGTGTCCATATGTGGTGGGTTATTCGAATAGAAAATATATAGAAATACAGCAGATGAAAAAAAAGAAAATTGTTTTAATCATATTTAGGTTAATTTTTAATGTTTGCTTTATTTCACATGCAAAATATATATAATATTTATATAACAATAAATACATAACAATAACATTAACCGTATTAACAGAATAAAGTTAAGTACATAAGTTGTAGGTGATAAGTTTGTTACGAGATTATTGAAAATGTGCTGCGTTCAACGCAAAAAGGTAGTTCATAAGAAAAATAAAATTTTTATTAATAAAATCCAAACAAAATAAAACTAAAAAAATACATAACAAAATCCATTTCTTTTTAAATTCAATTATAAATAATAGTTTTTAGTGCTTTCTCCTATTCATTTGTTGTTATACAGCAAGTGAAAAAGTTAGCGAATGTTACGAAAAATTTGTACAATTCAAAAAAATATGGGATTTTTAAGAGACTACAATGACAACTAAGTAAGTAGTATGTCGCAGACCGCACTGCCAAATGTCTCCGAATAAGTGGTTAAAAAAGTAGTGGTTTGAAAATTTTGAAAAAATATTAATTGTGCTAAAATTGCTACATACTTTATACATACGCATAAGCGTTTTTGTCAGTTAATAACTTCTTTTTCTATTACTCAAATCCAATAACGCAATTTCGCAATTTAAAAAAAAAAATAAATGCTAACAAAAGTTTTTAAATTTCTCATTTGGTTAGCACTAAAGTTCATGTCATTAACCAATCTATTTTAACATTTCCTCGCCAAATCTGTCACATTTGTACATATGCACTATGCATGTATTTATGTACGTGCGAGTTTGTCAGTACAAGTTAAGTATGTACATATGTATATTTAATTTAATCACGATTTTTGTAGCTAGCAAAGAGGCTGCGATCATCCGCGACAAAGCGTATACTTACACGATTTATCGAGTTGCGACGCGGACCCATACCACCGGAACCACCACTGCCCCCATTGGCACCAGCTGCGCCATTACCATTCGTTGAAGACGCACCAAAATTCTCATCATCAATACAAATGTCCGAATCTGAGTCAGAGCGTCGCAAACCGCCACCATCCTAACGAGTCGCAATGCAATCGAACATAATTGGAGTTGACATTGTGATAATTACGGGGTACATACAAATGTATATATGTATGTTTGTTGTTGGCAGGCATGTATTTATTTGTATGTGTTTGCATGTGAAGTTATTCAAGTGGTATGTATTAGCCGAAGCCAAAAGTACGAGTTGCATGCAATGAGATGTTAAGAAATGGGGGAAATGAAAGTTTAAAATCGCACATACATATGTATGTATGTAAATAGGTATGTGCATATGGCTTACTATGCATTTGCGCCATCAGGTGACATTTTTGATGTCTTTGCAGCGCAAGTAAAAAATAAAAATAAAATTTTTTATATATGAAAGCCACTGAAGCCCCTTTTAAGACGGTATCTGAGAGCGAATTAACGGAATAATAAATACACTCAAAAATGTCACTTAGTGGCTTTTGTGATGATGGCAATAGGATTGTAATAATATAATAAAAAATAAAAAATAGGTAGTTGTTAGTTAGCTCAAGTGGGCAAAAAATTTGTAGTCTTTTAATTATTATGCCACTACTAGTCGATCGTTTTATTTATACCTGAGTTAATTGCTCGGTTGTGGTGAGTAAGCGCGCCACGGGATTGCAACAAACAGGTAAAGTCTCAAGTAAAGTTGGTCGCGAATGCGTCAACAATGGTTTCATATACCTGTGTGAGAAAAAGAAAATATATTATTTGAAATGAAATATAAGAAATAAGAAGCCAAAAAGTATGTGGGTTTAGGTTAGAAATTGCGAAACTTTGCTGCGAAACAAATCGTTATCGATACGTACTCATATTTATCGGTATTAATGTATGTATTTATAGATATTTATCGCCTTAGGTACATAAATATGTATATTTATCGGACTAATGGTCCTTATATTTATCGATATACATAGTTATCGAGTTTTTCCGATATCGTTACCGAAATAATTATCATTATAGTTTCCGAAATATTTATTGATATAGTTATATACACATTTATCGATATTCTTATCGACATATTTATCGATATAAATGCTATCAACATACATATGTATGTACATTAGACCACGTAACAAAAAAATTCTGCAATGCGACCAGAATAATGCAGCGTTTGTCCTGCATTTAAAATGCAACATTTAGCACTTTCGTACATATGTATGCATGTTTTCGTAGAGCGTTCATGCTATTGCATTAGCAAATGTACATTAACGCGAGTTCGCAATCGTGTGCTTTTAACAAACAGGCGTGTTCCAGTCGCTTATTCAAGTCCATATCTTTCACAATCAATTGGCATGGAGAAGAAAACATGCTAAAAACCCTACTAAAAAAGCAGAAAAGAGATTTTAAACAAAAAATTTAATACAAAAACATGATCTGTTTTAACCATAATCGAAGATTTGTATGGGGATTTTATTGTCGGTGCTTTCAATTAAAATTTCCTAAATTAATTATGAACCAAAACAAATATAGTTGATCACAAATTGAGCCCCATTTGTATCAGCATCACATCGATGTTGGATCTAAACTCGGCAATGGATAAAGCATCACATTTCTCCTTACGTCAAACTAGACTTTTAGTTCTAATCAAAGATAGAGCTGCGAATTTGGTTTGGAGAATAAACCGATTTCGGTGTTGTGCCACCTTCAGATATTTTTCGATCTGTCTGCAGAAAGTTCTTGAAAGTCAATGACTCGAATTTTAATGCAGTTTCTATAGAATAGCCGACCGCAATTTTTACACAGCAACAGCAACAGCCTTATACATTCACAGGATAAAGGTCTAGTAAAGATCTGGTGTATTGAGAACACAACCATAACTCAACGATGATAAGCTGCTTTTGTCAAGAGTCCATAGAGACCAATTTTGATGGTCAGAAGAGGATTTCCCTAAGAACCTTTCGACATATGTCATGGGGCAAAGTCTAAGCTGTCCAGGTTCTCAACGAAATAGTACTCCAGGAATACTTAATTTGAACCGTATACCACATGAAGTGCATAGGAAGTACTTAACTGATTGTATTACTTCCTCGTCCTAACAAATTCTACAGGAATCGTTAAATGTGGCACCGACGACAATATCCCAGTAACCTGGAAAAATTATGAAAAAAATTGTCGAACATACTTCGTATGGAAGAAAATGCGTTAAAAAAATTGCCACGTGATTTTTAGAAACTTAAACATTACACTTCATTCTACTAAAATTCAATGGGCAATAAAATTGCATACTCAAAAAAGTTCTAAAAAAATTGATTAAAGTGTTGGAAATTTAGATACAATTTTGCAGAATTTTTATAATTTTTGCACAAAGTTTGAAATATGAATTTAAATGATTTTTGTTAGATAATGAGCTATAATTTTATAAAAAAAAATACTAAGTATTAGTCCCTATTTATTTTTCCACCACTGTAAATTCATGGATTACTTTTACAAACATAAAAAACGCACATAAATATGTTTAGGAACATAAATCACATAAAAATTATGCAGTCTTAGCATTGTTCTTATAACACAAAAATATTTAGTTACATACATACGTAGCATATTTAATATTGACACCGTTTCAATCGTTTACAGTTTTCGTATAAATAAAATACAAATAAACGAGTATATGAACAAAAACAAAAACAAATTTATAAATACAAGAATATCGTCCCCTGAAATGCAAAAAGACGTAACAACATCGTAACTTAAATGAAAAAAGTCGTGACTAATTTTTTATTTTTATTTTTTTTTCATAAAATGATGTGGGAGTTGTGATTCGATGAAATCCATCATATCAATCAAAAACTGAATTTTGCATTTTTTATAAGTTGCGACTTTTTGTATTTCCGCGACGATGTTTGTTACGTCTTTTTGCAATTCAGGTGACGATATGTATGTATGTATGTACATAGTATGTACGATATGTAAACATTTATCCCGAATTTCCACTTGGCATTGAAATTACAAAAAATTGGAGGCCTTTAAAAAATGCCATGTGGAAATAAATTTAATGACTATTTTTTTAAGGTAATGACAAGAATTTTTTTAATGCCCAACTTTGTCATTACAATTTTTGCCATTTAATTCCAAGCGAAAATCCAGCTTTACATATTGCTATGCAAAAACATTAAATTAGAAAGCTGGTTTGCTTTTAAAAGCGTTATACGCTAGTTTAGAATTTTCTCTCCCCTGAAAAAAACTCGTTTGCAACGAACTGAAGTAGCAACAATGCAAAAGCGCTTTAAAACGTATCTGTAAAAATGGGAATACACGTCATACGTTCGTGCCAACAATAATTGGATCGTGATCCAAAATTAGAAATTGTAGCACTGACATATTTACTTCAATGAAAAGACGGAACTTATGAACTAGTTAATTGAGATGAACAAGTTATTTAGTTCATTTAGTTCAAGAACTACCCAAGCCTAGTATCCGGCTACCGCTATGGACGTTATATTCGTCTATGGAGACCTCGCAAGGTCAGCCAGCATAACTAACCTAAAGTACGCGTTAACCAGACCGCACTACGGCAGGAGTCTAAAATTTTGTATGTTAAAAGTTATAGAAAACTCGCAACCTTTATATAGCCCAATGAAAAATCTAAGGATATGTTCGGAATCAGCGGCTCAAAATTAGTTTAGGGTAAATCAAGGTATATCAAACAGGTAGTAGTATTAAAACAATAACAACATTTGCGTGTATTTTGTTGTTGCTTCTGGTATCGAAAGTGTCAAAAACTGTTCTTAATTTTTTTTATTCTAAATCAAAGTGTGCCATGTGAAATACAAAAAAAATAAATAAAAAATTGAAATTGGAAAAAAATATAATAATTTTTGCAATTTTCTTTTCTTAGTAAATTTGTTTACTTCTCGAAGCATTGATCCATCTTTTGCAAGACCCAGTAATCAGCGGTTGTGCTGCTGAGTTGGGCGATCGTTCCAAAAGCATCTATTCAATCAATTGTTTTGTATGGAAAAAGGTTTCATATGCAAATAGATTTTAACAATTTAGAATTTTTGTGAGATTTAAAAATATTTGAAATTTTCGAAACCAAATATTTTATAAAAAATCAAATCACCTGCTCTACTGATACTACCTGCTCAATGTGCCTTGGGGTAAACTAATGGCTATCCTGAGTATGTTGTGGATTCCGACAAGTAAAATGTAATGCTTTTTGCAAAATTTGGGTTATACTTTGCAATGCTAATGCGCTTTCTTAAAAAATTTATCTAATTTTAATCTATTTTCGGACTTTAAAGCCTTTTTGGCATTCTTAAGTGAACTAAGAACATCGAACAAGGCTGATTTTATTTTGAGTTAATAAAGAAAGAAATACCATTATGCCCGCGGCCTTTGTTTGTTTGGGGAGTTCCATAATGCAATAATTCCAGTGTTTTCCCCGGGTTTTAGAGATAATCTCTTGCTACATTTCATGATCTACATATGTATTAGCGATAAAAGTTAATACATATTACCAAATTCAACTTGAAAAGGAATCAAAGTGATTTTTATTTAATATTAACAATGTCATGGTTGATATTTGCAATGATGATTTGGTGATATTAACCACGCTTTTGTTTACATTAAACACATTTTTGGTTGCCGATCTTTTCGTTTGAATACGCTGTTCTGCACTTCACATATGCTTTTTTGCAAATTGGGATTTGAACCGGGACCTTCAGCTACAGCCGTTCTGTAAATTCGTCCTCAAATGTTGAACTTGAATAAATTTTCTTCGTCGTTTTAAAGTGTTCTTCAATTCACAGATGCCTTTTCGTAATTAAGAAAAACAAAAAAAATTAAATGTCGCCTCTGACTTCAACCTACTGGAAGCTAACAAATACCAGCAAGCACCTCTGCACGTTTAGTTACAATGTTAAGTTTGAATGACATTGCTTACAATCGGTTTATTTTACATGAAAAAATCAAATAACTTGGCTGAAAAAACGCTTGTGCTTTTGGCTCAGTTTAGGCTAGCCCATATAAAATGGCCTTTAAAACTATGGTTTTACATCAAAACGTAACATTTTTCGATTACATTTTCTTAATTGTCTCAGAAACTGTTCAAGTTCAATTATTGCGTTTTGCTATGGAACTTTTCATTTACAACCGTGCGGTAGTTGGGGCGTAGTTTTAAGCCGATTTCAACCATTTTCAGCAAATGGCGTTTCTTTGGCAATTTCAATGCCCATGCCAATTTCGGTTGATTTCAATTAAAAGGTTTTTGATATATAATATGTGGGTGGTGGAACACCCCTTCCAAAATATGACCATATAACCCTGTTTTTACTTCACATACATAAATGCATATCCACATATGTATGGCGTCCGCTCTGGTGTAGTGGTTAGCAGTGCACAGTACCATACCACAGGGAAAAATGTAAACAAGTTTTTTTTTTTTTCTAACAGCAATCGCCCTTCGGCAGGCAATGGCAAACCTACAAGTGTATGCTGCCGTGAAAAACAGCTTCTCATAAAAATACAATCGCCGTTCGGAGTCAACATCAAGCCGCACGCCAAAAATTGGAGGTAATGCTCGGCCAAACACTAAAATATTGTGTAAGCGCCAATCTATTATTTTTATTATTATGTACATCCTTATATATCGAGTTAGAGCATTCTAACTTTGTTTGTTTTAAAATATTGCAATTTAAACGTTTTTCAAAGTTCTTATTATAATACAAACCAATTTGAAATTGTAAGTAAATTTTTGCTAAAATATTTATGGGCAACTTTTATATGAAACGCTCCCACTGTGCCCGGTGAGAAATATTAATGGTTGGCATTTTTTTGTTTTACTTAGGAAATATAACAACTAGTACTTACTTGCTATCAAAATTTCCCCATATTCTTGCCAAAAATGCCTTCTCATTGCGCTTTGCATTTATGGCCGCCTGTGTGCTTGCATCACCAAGTCCACCAGCGCCTTCGACATCTACGTCGACATCCTGCAAATATGCATCAGACTAATTTTTAAAACTCTAGAAAAATTCTGGAGCGATTTTCAAACAATTAAAGGATATTGAAAACCAGTGCAAATATTATACATACATACATACATACATTTAAAAGTAAATATAAAAAAATGGGGAAAAGCGAAAACGTAACGCAACTGCAAAAAGCTAAAGCAAATAACGAATTCAAATAAGAAATAAGATATAAAAAGAAGTAGCCAAAATACGATAATGGGCGATGCTGTGTAATGGAAATAAAATATGAGGCCTATAATAAATAGAAGTTGACAGTTTTGCAATTGTGTACGGAAAGTGTAAATTAACGCAAAAATAATAAAATATAAAACATGAAATTAATATACTTTGGATTGTAAAAAAAATAACAAAACTATTAACTGGCTTATAACGCGTTACAGGCACGTATCCTTACCAAGGAACTGCGTCGACGCGACATAGGCAGCTGGCCCAAATTGAGTCCCGTATCGATCGACTGGGTGTATTGTACATGAAAACACAAAAATTTACAGTTCTCTAAATTTTTACTAATAAAATGTACATAAGTAGCTGAGCGAATGGATAGAAATCTTTTATTTACATACACATGGTTTTTTAACGAATTTACCAGCTTTCTTCGTTGATTTGATAATTAAAGTTCTTTTTTTGGCAAACTTTGGTTTTTACCCTGCAATCATCCTACTAATATAAATGTGAAAGTTTGTGAGTGAGTGTTTCAGTATGTTTGTTGCTTTTTTACGCTATTATTATTTTTTATTAAGTATTATTTATTTTTAATTTTTGACTTTGAAAAATATTACTGAATAAAATAAATTTTTCAAACTTGTTTCTAATATTTATACAGAACGAAAAATGACACTGAAGATGGCACCGAAACCGGTTTGTCTGCAAACCAAACTTGACAAGGGATAACGGAAATTCGTTCCAAAATAAATCATCTTACCACCCTGTCGGAAAAATCAACCAACACCAACACATTTATACAAGTCGTCGGTTGAGACCAATTAATCACTAGTCCATCATCTCGCTCAGCCACATGTGAAATATGTACATGAATTACTATACGCAAGCTCCTGTCACAAAGTATACATGTAAATAAATATGAAACTAGGTACTGAATGAAAATGAAGCAAGAAATAAAATTGTCAAAATTTCACAATAATTTTGTAGTAAATGTTTGGAATAACCACCAAAAGTTAGTCATCAGTCAAGTGTGCTGTAAAAGAGTTGAGTAAAGTGATTGAGTTTAACAACATAGCACAAAACCAACAAAAACAGAACCGTAAAATTTCCAATTGTAAACTTTTTTGATAGTATTTCTTTAGATAAGTATGAATTTATGAATGATTAGTGCACATACCGCAGCCGCTGTATTTTCCATTGAATTATAGACCTTTATTTGATAATGTTATTTGCGTATTTTGGTGTATTTTCGTTTATTATTGCAGTTAATTGGATGTGTAGGGATGATGCGGTAGTAACAGTAGGCATAGGCATAGAAAAAATATGAGAATTCAAATTGCAATAAAGAAAATTAATCGATCAGTTAATTCAATACAATAATTCACAACTTTACATAGAAAATATTACATACGAAAAAGTCTGATTGAAATTGGTGCAATTAAAAAGTTAAATACGATTTTTTTTTTTATAAATAATGAGAGTAGCATCACAATTTCGTGTGGCCTCAGGATATTACTGTCAAATTATAGATGCACGCATTGAAGTATTTGTACATTTATGTATATACAACTATGGGCAAAAAAATTATAAACTTCGTTGTAAACATTAAAAACATTTTTTTATTACATTTTATAGTCTTACTAAAGCAAAATACGTGCATATGTACGTATCAGTCATATCAATAGCACCCCCATTTCAAAGTGATATTGCTTGCCACTTATGTATGTTTATTTATTTATTTAAAACAAATTTTAAATTAAAAGCCCGTTCTAAATCCAAGGTTAAATCTTCCAAATTTCAAACTTTTTTCTCAGAAGTGTTAGAATTTTTACGTATACAACTAATAAACACAATTTATTTATTTACGGAAGAAAATCGCAGCACCTTCGGCAAGAAAAAAAATCTAAAAAATCAACCGTAATTTTTAACCACTTGATACTACACATTATTATACTAAAAATAAATGCGCTATAAAACATTTCAACACTTCTGAGAAAAGTTTGAAATTTGGATGAAAATTTGCTGAATTTTTTCTGGTTTTCTATAAAGTATTACATTTGGGATAAAATAGGAATGAACTGTATTTTATTTGAAAATTCATAAAAATAAATAAATAAACATGATGGGCAAACAATATCACTTTGGGATGCTGTTGATAAGAAAAAA